GAAAAGTACTATCTATTAACACCATACTCAAGATTAATGCCGCCAATAAAAAAGTTTTTACCAGAAAGTATCCGAGCTATCGCTCGTAACCCGAATATTGACTTACAATCGATAGGTATATATTCTAAATCCGATATACAACATCACATTAGAACACAACCCTTTCAAGAACTACTAACACAGATGGACACTATTCTACGACAATCATTAGACCAAAATTTAAGAAAACTTGCAGAAACCGCAGGATTTTCAGACATTCACGCACAAGACTACAGCGGATATTTTAAGGATATTAAAGATTACATATATTTAAAGGGTGAAAAATACCGACCACAAGATATTTCACCCAACCATGTTTTCAGTTTTGTAACCTTAAAACCTTGTCGCCTTTCTAGGATGGCCATATTACATCTTAGAAAGATTGACTATCTTATACGCAATGTTTAATTTTATTGGATTTCTTTTCTCATTGTTAAAAGGAATCTATAATACATGCGCTATACACACACAAGTAAACCGCCAAGCAACTGTAGCACGTATATTATTTGCAGGATTTTTTGGAATTTTCTCATCATCAATTAATAAAATACTTCTAGATGCACAAATAAAAGAATACAATACAAAAATATCCACAAGACCAAACACATCACGAAAAACATAATAATGCCGATACAACACCTACAGCACCACAGATACCAACCCTACCACAAAACCATCCATTATCATTAGTTCCCCGAAATTTTAGAAACCTGGCAATCACAAACAATACAAATTTTAGACCAAATGCAACACAAAGCCCCATTCAACACATAATGACAAATCATTCACAAAATGATAATACATACGAACAAATTATCGAACAACCTCATACCACCACTTTTCAATCTCAAAATAATCATTTTTTTAGCCCACGATGAGCCGACAAGTTGGATCCCTCCATCGCTCAAATTCCCACCCAGCCAACCTCCAAACTCAAATCCCAATCATCCCATTTTTTGCTTTCCCGCCAACCGATTCTCCAGTTATTAATATACCATCAAGCATGAATTCTGATACTAACTCAGATATTTCAGTTTTTCATACCATCTCACAATTTAACAACTCCGATGTAGAAACTCCCGATGAATTCGCAGACTCCGAACCATCTCCCTCTACCCATACCCAGACCAATTCTTCAGTTTTTTCAAAACCACCCTTTCAACCCATTCAGACCAATCACCCACTCCCATCCCTTTCCACTCCTTCTTACGCTTCCCAAGTAACCCCAACCTATTCTCCATTTAATTCCGACAGATCACATAATCACTCTCCAGATAACATCCAAATCTCCGAAGAACTTGACAATTTTTTTACATTACAACAACAATTAACACACCCCCACACTCTTACGATACATCAACTATCATCAACAGAAACATCATCAAATCCACCAACTCTTACACCCTCTTCAGATTACACTCCATCTTTCGCCCAATCAACCACATCCACCGAAACACCTACCAGCACTAACCGAGCTTACCACACTTTCAAACGAAAATTCCCAAATCACCCATTTACAACCAAACCCGGAACAGCCAAAGAATATATCAACCACCCAGCACACACAAACACTAAAAACTTTCTTGAAATAACCCTACCTTCATTTCCACAATATACCTTAAATACCTTTACCATTCCTAATGAAACCCGAAAAATGAGCACGTTTTAATGCCAACACTTCATTGGACAGCTTGCTATAATTATACTAACCCCCTTTATCTGCTACTAGCAAATACTAATGAAAATATAGAGAAGAACAAAAATGTACTATATAGACTCACCACATCATTAACACCTCGACAATTTACTTATGTTGGATATAAAAAATTATTAAAAACATTCACCGCACCCCGAGCTAACGGTTTTTCAATAGAATACTACGATCATAATATCAACCGTCCTAACCATGATCAATTTTTAGACGAAGACCGCTTTGCAAACCCGCAACTAACCAAAAATTTTTTAAATAAAACATCATACTTATTTACACTTAATTTTTTTGATAAAAAGCACGATCATATAATTTCAGAAGCACTAGTTGACATACAAGCATATGAAAGCTTCTATGATAAATTTCAGTTAATTTCAGCAATTTTTCACTTTCTTTCACCACAGGAACGCGGTTTGCACTGTTCCCATGATATAATGTTGCATACACCTTCACGACAACCCCACCATTGTTTTCAGTTTAATAATTCAAAGTACACGTCACCATTCTTTCTTAATTTTACATATTGCATTAAAAATACTAACCCCCACGGCATCCTCCGCAATTACGATCCAGTTGCCCAAATGTATATATTTTGCCCCATCACGACGACCTTCAATGATGAAGAATTAAGACCCTTCATTATCCCGCACGAATTCATACAACCCATCGAAATACCCATACTAGAGTTTATTCATAATACTAAATATAACCATAAAATTTACAACCTAATACAAAACACACCTCATGAATTCGCAGTAGGCAAGGAAGAACTGAACACCATCAACGCACTTCAATTGCTTTGGCCACTGCTACAAACTAAAAATGTTATACGCATACTAGCCAAGTTACTAACAACATCAGAATTGCTTCCCGACATCTTCCCACATGGCGTTTTCCCAGACGATTAAGGTAAATATGAATTAAAATAATTTTAACTAACAAATTCAAATTATACTAGCCATTTTTATCAATGTTTAATTTATTCTTTCAGATTTCACACCAAAATCATCTACAAAACAGCAGAAACACAAATAAAAATACAAACTTGTTATTTCATAAATAAAACTCATAAATCTTCCGCACTAAATAATGTAGTAAAATTCATACCCAATGTAGTAACTTCATTTATAAATTATTTCCCCAAGAAGCAGTAAAATTAAAAACGATGAAAATTTATAATTTTAAACTTCCCCAAAAGCAGTAAAATTCAATTTTGATGCAATAATTTCATAAAATGAGAAAGCAGTACTAACCTTTTCAATAATTTCATTCATTCGCACAAGAATTTTATCCAAATTCGCACAGCTCGCCCACGAAGAATTGTTTAAATAATGACTTTATGTTTCGAGTTTTCACTAACAACAACTCAAAATAGCAATAACAAGTTTCAAACTTTTCTTTAACCCGGTTGGAAAGGAATTATATACTAAACCAAACTAACCAATGCAGCTTACTAAACACGACAAATCATAAAATAACAGCATGACTAAGAAAAGAAAACCAACGGTACCCAAACCGGATTAACCCAGCTTAAAGCTGGATAATTTATTCTTTTGAAAACTATTATAAAGTCTAAGAAAGAAATAATAAAACACAAAAAAGTCGTAAGACAAACCCAAACCAAAAACAATTTGATTTTTGAAAAAAGGACACAACCAAAGTAACATAAGAAAGACCAGAAAAAACCACGATAAAATGTTATCACATAACAGGACCTTTCAAAGAAACAGCATGAAATCATACTCCCATTCCTGGCCTAACCCATCAGAGAAGGACGTTTTGAGCATGCTTATAGCCAGCCTAACCCACCGCGCTACACACACGCTTTGTGACCACACTTTTTAATAAGGGGTACTCAAGGGTGAGTAACTCTTCAAAATAATTGAACTAAAATAAAAACGCTTTTGTGAAAACAACTAATTAAGATCATGACTAAAAACCAAATTAACAAAAATTTATAGAATGTAAATCATAATATGCAGTATATAGATCATACACAACAACAAAGACGAACATCCAAAGACTAGACGATCCTATCACACTCGAACAAAAGAATGGCTAAACACAACCGACATGCCGTCCACGATCACGACTCAAAGGATTTAGAGTACGACTTGACTTCGCAGAAAAGGACTTCATTGAACTAGACCAATGACCACCTCGATGTTCAAGTATACGTACAGATCCGAAATTACAAGGCATCCCTTCCAAACACGATCTTCGTGCCATTCCCAGACGAGGCTGCACACAAAACAGTTCTCTACTAATACAAAAAAGCCTGACATAGCAAACCATTTTGAAATCGGATTGATTTCATTGGGGATCACAGTCATTGCTGAATGACGTAATAACAATTTCCTATCCATGATTCCAGCGTCCTGGAACGTTCTTCTTCAAGAGGAACCGAATAAGAAAATGATGTTCGCCAGATACCAACGTTCATCATCCATCCTTCAACTACAGAAAGAAAGATAAATCTAAAAACTCTGTAAGCCCTGGATGGGTGGAACCTGATCTAAACTACATTTAATTATTGGATAAATTAGATATTTTATCACTATAAAATATTTAATATTAACCAATCATATTCCATCTAACTAACTAACCACTTATTTGTAAGTGCTGAAATTACTTGTAATTTCAGCACCAGAGAGATTTGAATTTAACTTAGAAATTAGTTACCTCTCCAAGAGAACTTCAGCAATCGCAATAAGCCAGTATACTCTAGATCTATTGAGCCTAGCAGAGACTAGTTAAACACCCTGAGACTAGTAGATACAAGAGTAAGATTAGGATCGGTATTAGACTAAGAAGTTGCACGAATCTATCCGGCCGAAAATAAGATAGCGTGACGAGCAGACGGTGTACCCTATCCGAAATTACTCTATGAATTAGACCATCAAACCTAACTCAGGTCAAATATAACTCCCTTACCTCAGCCCTGGTGTCAAAAAATTGCAGTTATTGCAGGGTGGGCTCTTTTTCCTCCCCCGCCCCACTTCACATAAGCATCGATTTTATGGTATAACAAGGGGTTTTAAAATTTGACTTATAAAAACTAAATATGTTTTTCATGGCCTAATTAGTCCGCGTAACTTTTGTAACAATCGCACAACGTGAACAAACATTTACTAATAAAAATTCGCAGGTAAGGGGAGAAGAACCAAGAAGTTTTAACTTTCATGAAACCTTACACTTTGTTCACAAAACTGTTCACATACGAATTTATTGCTTGAAACTCGAGAGCATATATTTTTACACCGAGACTTGGTATAGCATAAATAAAGTTTGTATTAAAAAGTTTAGGAAAAAATTTTCCCCTTTTGTGATTCAGATGCGATTAGGATATTATCTAATCGGTAAGTTCGAAATCGATTTTGACCTCTGCGCACCCAATTTGCTTGCCTTCGTTTTCAGCTTTGGCTTCAATTTTGATAGTTCCCGAGTCAAATGGAATTGGAATATCGTCCAAAGATGGCAACTTGACGGTTTCCTCGACCGTGTAAGTGCCCTTCTTCAGGGGACAGATGTTCAGCTTCGGGAACAACTCACAGATGTCGTCGTATGTGCAGGTTCCCATTTTGGGCAACCCGGGGATGATGTCCAGACACGGAATAGGAATCCAGAAAAATAGTTTGTATTTCATACTGACCTTGACTGAAAAGTGAATGATTGAAAGAAAGGTTTCAAAGTTTTTCAAAAATGACTCTTCTTTAATCAAGGGTTTTTTGCCACTAACCACTTACTTATCTCAAGTTTTCTATTGTTTTTAGCGTCAACTTTATGATGTAGCAAAAAATTTTACGAGTGTAAGCATGAAAACCAAATTCCCAATTGCCAATTTTTGCAACAATCGGAAGATGAAAACAGAAAAAAATACAAATTTTCAGGTGAGGAAGGGAGAAGAGCCCTATTATGGCTAAATGCTCGATGTTACAATGTTAAAAAGTATGAAGAACCAATCTGTTCACAATAGATAGTTTGTTCCCAAGAAAAATTATTTGCATATATCACAATCGTTAAAAAATGTCTTCAATCTTGAAGTTCAATGGTCGGGATTGGGGGGTCAGGGTAGGGTGGAAAAAGGAAAAGCGCAATGCAAGAAATACCCGCGGTCTGAAAAAAGTATCAGCATTCGAGGGTGATGAACTCTGAATTCATGGCTCTTTTTGCAGCTCCCCTTGCCAAGGTGAATTTTGCTGAGAAAATAATTACAAAAGGTTTTTTAAAATGACTGTAATTGTTACGAATCACTGTAACAGGCATGCAACTCTGAACAAACTTTAACAACAACTGTTCTAAAACTTAACTAAGTCAAAGCAGACATAATACCAATCAAGCCTTTTGAAATTTAGTTTAAGAAAACCAGAGTAGTATTCGTATAACAATGAGTTGTTATAATTGGTAATTGCTATTCCGCATATTTAAAAGTAACAAAGAGAGAATCAGTAAATTAACAAATAGGATTTTTAAACTCATGAAGACACATTAAAACGCATCTAAAGCAATTAAACTGAGTTTTAATTTTAAATTAAAACACATCTTTTCTACACGCAAAAATTTGCATGGAAACAGCGACTATCTGTTCACATCATTCAAATCAGGAATTTTTTTGCAAAATCGATCTGCTACCGACTTGTTCGCATGTTTAAATAACTGAATCAACCTTAGCCTATAGTTTTTTTTACATTTTAAAAAATTCAAAAAAAATCGAAAAGTCAAGCAAGGAATTGCCAATCGCGCGTGCTAGCCACTGTAGTAAGAGGCCTTGTAATCAGCATTTGTACGTGTTGTTACTTTTACAATGACTAAATGGGGCATAAACATCCTTCGCCCCGAATGAGTAAGAGCCAGAACGAGCTTTACGAGCGGTCGGGTATACTTTGCGGAGACAGTCTTAAGGTCTGGGAACGAGCGGAGTTGTCTTTTCCGTAATTAAGAGACGTTTCGCGCGCTAGTGGGTAGTAGCCCGTAGGGCTAGTCGATACGACTAAACTATTTGATCTACCGTTTTCAAAGTGTGTTCGGGAACATCCATATTCGGGAACAAGTGTCTTCGGGAACAGTTAGAGTCCAAAAACGCTAGACTGTGCTGAACTGAAATAACTTCAAAACTTCGGCGTCAAAACTTCAAGACCATCGTTGCTGCCAAATTGTATTTGCGTAAAACTGCCTACATGTATAGCGTTTAGAGTGAGAAATGTGTTCGGCCGAGCTCAAAGACGGAAACATAGAACTGCGTGCCCAAATAGAACATTATTTGGAGTCAAGATCTCGAGACTACTGGGATCATCGGAACTTCCAGTGAGCGTAAGAGCGTTGAGCGAACTTTCGAATAAGCGCATGGTAGTTCAAAACCTCTTCAGTCTCTGTTGTTGAGTGTAAGCATGAAAAAAACACGCGAATACTTTAATGTAGTGCACTAGGTTATGTTTTGACTGAAAGTTTTTTCAAAAAGACGATACTGAATTTAAATTTTCGAGCAGTTGCATATCGTAAAGTATGAAGAGAAAATATTTTTGTCATATCCTAATAAATCTGCATGCCAGGTTTTGTATCAAACGGACAATATTAACATTACATTTATCAGTAAAATTTCGCAGGTGGGGAAAAAAGAAAAAGAGACAAAGAATCAACATACGAGTTGTTATCTCTTCACGGAAAATCGCTGTTGAGCACCAGCTAGTCACGCTGACACGTTTTCTTGTGGTTTAAAACATGCAAAGTCATTTTGTCTCTTTTTCTTTCCCCCTCCCCCCACCTCACATAAGCATTATTTTTATGGTGAAACGAGAGGTTTTACAAGGTTAAACATGAAGACCAAACATGTATGTCATGGCTTAACTAGTTCACATGCCAGTTTTCATAACATTTGGATGACGTGAACAAAATTTCACCAATAAAATTTTTGCAGGATGGGGAAATGGAAAAAGAGCTTTCATTTTAAATAGATTTCAATCAAATGAATTTCATTAAAAAAATCAAGGGGTGACTGGAAAAGGGTCTTTTAGAATCACATGCATTTTTGGCTATTTTTTGGCTGGGTAATGTTGCTTCACCCTCAAGCAACGACCCCGGATCATGGTGGGCCTCGGACAGCCGACGTTTCGATATGCTGGCGAAGACGCAACCACTTCACCACCTCTACAGTTAGACCATAAAATTGGGCTCTTTTCCAGTTTCCCACCCTCCTCGTAAATCTGCAAAATTAAGCTGTTCAAAAATTGTTCACACGGTTTCTTGCATGTAAGAAAAGTTGTAGAAATTTGTTTACCCGTTCATGCTGACACGTTTTACTGCAATTTTTAAAAAGAAAAATTGTTTTAAATAGACTTTCATATATTGAATTTTTAAAAAATCAAGGAGGGGGGACTGGAAAAGAGCCTAAAATTGATATGCAAATCCGGCTGGGTAAATGGTAAAGGTCTTTACTACAAAAACAAAGGAGCATCAATCCAAATTAGGCAACGCCTTTATCTACCTTTGATAGGTCCGTCAAAGTTTTTTTTGACGGACACGGTTCCCTGCACAGCCAGGTCTCCAGGGAAGAGGATCTGGTCAGGCACCACAGAGATACCACTCAGAACCAGAGGGTCCGAAGAGGAACCACAGTCCTCGTAGGAGCTACGCATCAATCTCCCACTCCTTGTCTAAGAAACGATTCTTTTTAGTAAAAATTGGACTTTATCAGGAGTCGACAGAAAAACTCGGTGACATTTTGGATACCTGCCCCCTTATAAGAATCTTTTATTCGTCGTCGATGGTGTGATGAGACAAGATTTAGATGAGGATTGGACTCTTTTCACTTCATTGGGCCTACTTCACCCTCTAAATTTGAAACTATCCATTTTCATAATAACTTTTTTGTCTGATACGTGTTATTTGCTATCAAGTATGAATGAATGGTTACTTTCTTCGCCGTGGAAAATTTCATTTCAATGACGACTACACGTTACAATAGTTTTCAGGAAAGCAATTGTAATAAAGGCTCTTTTTACTACACCCCCTCCCCCCCCCCCCCCCCCCACCCCCAACCTACCCCTCCCTTGAGCGAGCATCAGTTGTGAAACGAAGGGTTTTTACAAGGTTAGGCGTGGAGTCCTATTCGTCCGCATCCCAAATTTAGTCCAAATTATTATCCTTGACCAATTTCAAGAGGTAGAGCACGTACTAAGATGGAAAATCTAGTCTTACCTGCATGTTACCTGCTCCTTGATCTGATGGCAAAAAAGTAGCTATTGCCACCCCAATAACAAAAACAATGGATGCAATTCCGAGCATAACCATATTGCTTGTCATTTTTTCTCTTCGCTGAACACTATCAACTTGAAATTTTTGGACAAACGAAACAAATATATTCCTGATTCAATTGTTACAAATACTTTTTCGAATTTTAAAATTATATAGGTTTATATTTATTTTTAAAAAAATGCTTTTTTGATCGAGTAATTCAAAAATGCTAATCAAGGATAGTTTTACCGCACTTTTGCATTCGACGCATGAAATGAACAAGGAGATATATGCTTGGATATTGAAAAAATTTTCAAGAAGTCGACTTTTTTCCTTTTGGCTCAGTCCCCCTTTGATTTTTTTTTTTCAGATTGCTACAACATTTCTCATATGTAAAATTTCTTGTGAACTATTTTAGAACACCTTTAAACTGTAATTTTACGAGAGGGGTGGGAAACCGGAAAAGAACCTTCCTTTTTCCCCCACCTGCAATTTTTTGTAGTCGTTTTTTCTGTTCGCATTCTCCAATTGTTACCAAAATTGGCATGCGGACTAATCAGACTATGACAAACAAAACTACTTGAGCGGGTTTTACAAAGTTTACAAACCCCCTCGTTACACCATAAAATTCATGCTTATGTGAGGTGAGAAGGTGAGGTGGGGTAGAAAAGCAAAAGAGCAAAACAAGCAAAAGCAAAAGAAATCAAATGCTTTTAGAGCTTACATCAAAGGTTTTTCTAAAATTTTTTTGAAGCGCTACCACTCTATCATAGCGGTACCACTCTATCATGGAAGTACTTTTTTGAATTGAGTAGTTAATACATAAATTAGTTTTCCAAATTGATGTGAAGTTCATGCGGTACCACTTTATCATAGCAGTACTTTTTTGAACTCTTACGACTCAATTGTGAATTTAACTTTTTACTATAATCAGATGAAATACTGCTTAAGAAAATACGACAAGGCGTTTTTAAATAAACAAAAGAACAAGAATGACGCCGTTGTCACAACCTGGGTTGACCTCCACAGACAAAAAATGCTAATCATACATTTCCATAAACTAAGCCTATGAAAAATTATTAATTAAATAAAATTCATACATTTTGCTAAAACGGAGTCATCGAAATTTCGAAGAACTGTTTTTTGGCATATAAGTCGGCCCCCTACCGACCCAAAGGTTCCCCCTTTGTACTATTTTGGGATATCAATTTTTGGTGACGGACCTTAAAATTTTTCTAAAGGCGCCAATATATACTAATTTTGAAGGGGGAACTGACGTTATTCTATCAAAGTGATCCTCTCATAGAGCCGAACAAAGTTTAAAAACGGTTTTATCTCTTCAAATTTGAGCAAAACATTACAAATTTGTTTTCAAATAAAAGTTGGCACTTTATATAGTAAAACGACATATTTTGTAATTCAAACAAAAACAATTTAAAAGTTTTCTTGGAGAGTACACCCTTCTTCAACTTTATTGAGCTCTAAGAGAGAATCACTTCGATAAAATTTCGGCAGTAATGAACCCGGTAGTTTAAGCGTAAGCTTTTTTTTGACTAATGACTAAAAAAGTAAAAATAACCCATTTTCGAGGATTTTGGCCAAAGTTTTTAAAATTCAGCTCAAATTTGCACCAATTTTTGTCTTTTTCATTTTTTTGTCTAAAAGTAACCCAATTATAGAATATAGCGGTTTAAATTTGAAGTTTTATGCGTTTTTTGGAAAACTTAAATCAACACTGTATGAATTTAAATTGAGAACAAAATTCAGCACGATCTTTACGTTGAAAAAAAACACGCGATCAAAACCAGAGAACAATTAATTCTGTTTCATTATTAGCACTTCGAAAGAAGGGCAAAAAACCTGTTAAACTCGCATCCAGCTTAAGCTTCACTTTTTATCGTTTGGATCGATTGCCTAATTCAAGAACGAAAAAAAATTGTATTTGATTTTTATTTTGGAAGGCTGATATATTTTCATACGAAACATTTAGGACAAGCAAGAGCAAAAAAGATATAGAGACAAAACAGAACTTTACAGACACGGTGAAATTGACCTCGCAAAAACGCGAAATGCGACTGGAGACAAGATTAACGAGAGTCAAGTAAAATGATATTTAGCTTGGCGTAAACTTCATATGAGATTGTGTTTGGAAAAAAGGAATTACTTCAAAACACAAACTTCTCGCAAGCTCACATACCTAAAAATGAGAGGTACATATCGCACCGAAGACTTGGTGAACGACTTTGCTCACAGTTCCGTCAAATCCACACGCTTACGAATGACACTTTTTTGATGATCAGCTCGAACATGAAAAAGATACCCTTGTAGCACTTATGAATGATTCACTTTTTAAAACGTGAGACAAAGAGTTATTTTTTCCAGCTTTATATTGAAGAACTAATTTGACATGTGCCTGTAAAAGCACTCCGGGAATCTGCACAAAGGCAGAGATGAGCTCAGCACCACTTGCGATACGTCACCAACATAGCATGGCAAGCCAGTCGACGACGAAAGCCATGTTAGTCAAAAGCATTTACAGAAAGAAAAAAAAACATCTAGATCTAGTTCTATCGAAGCTTTCATACGTTTGAAGGGGCGGGTTTATGGGGGTGCGATTTCACCACCTTAGGGGGTAAGACCCCTTCACCAATCAAAGGGTAGTATGTTGACATCCATTTTCGGGCGACCGACCCTAAAAGTGTAGTAAAGACGCCCTCAGTGCCAATATACACTTAGTTTGAAGGGGAGTGCGCGCCGAACAAACGCGACTGGTTCAAAATTTTTCGAAAAAGGCCCAAAAACGGCTTTTTTGATCGGTTTTTTTTCTTTACAAATAATTTGTCAATTTAGCAGAAAATTTTGTCAAAAAAGGATCTCATTAGTGTTCTGGGAGCGCTCAAAAAATGAATTTGTTCGAACTAAAAAAGGTTGACAAAATTTTAGAATTTTTTTTTCGAAAATCCGCCGCCCCTCGAGAAAATCGTGGATCCGCCCCTATACGTTTGTCTTGATTGAAGTTTACTTTCAAGAGGACATGTCAAGACACACAATTGCACAAATAATTGAAACATTTGAAATGGCAAGTAAGCTGGCAAAACTTACAAGAACACCCATTGACAGGAGCGGATTTAAGGGGGGGGGCGGACGCCCTCCTCCCCCCTCAAGAATTCCGCCCCCTGCCGACTCAAAGGGTCCCCCCTTCGTACAACGTTGAGATATCCAATTTTGGTGATTGACCCTAAAAATTTTATAAATGCGCCTTTAGCGCCAATATACTGATTATGAGGGGGGAGCGCTATTTTTTGGTCAAAATTTTCTAAAAATTGCCTAAAAACGTTTTATTTTTAGCCTGTTTTTTCAAAGTTTTGCCTGCGGAGCAGAAAATTTGGTCAAACCAGGGACTTTTTACTGCTCTGGGATAGCTCGGAAAATCAATTTGGTCGACCTAAAAAAAGGTTGACAAAATTTTCGACGTTTTTTTTGAAAATCCGCCCCCCCCCCCTCGAGAAAATCCTAGATCCGCCCCTGGCTCAAAGTTTACAAAAAAGTCCAAGTTGTTTTCTGGCATTCAGCGAAAACTTAAATTTTTGGTTCTAATTGATACTTGACATTTCATTTTTTTAAACCAATAATTTACAACCCGCAAAAAAATGTACAGCAGAATATTTCAGTGCCAGTAGTAAGAAATTGAGTGGTTTAATGATATTAATGCTTCAAACTGTAGACTTTCCACTTCATCACCTGGTATTAGTGTGTATTTTTTGTAGGAAGTTTTCAATAGTCGTTCTATTTATGGGTTTGATTATCCAGGGCTACTGTGTTGTCATTTATGAACAATGTTGTCATTTATGAACAATGCTGGTTATAGATTTTTCATACGATTTTTCAATTGAATGGGGTTTCGAGAAATGGAATAAGAATGGTATGAATAGCAATTTTTGGCAGCCTGTAATGGATTAAAATTGACCATCAGAACAGCCCGTTTTACTGAGTGCGCTCGAAAAATCAATTTGCTCGAACTAGAGTTTTTTTTTCGAAAATCCGCCCCCCCCCCCCCTCGAGAAAATCGAGAAAATCGTGGATCCGCCCCTATACGTTTGTCTTGAATGAAGTTTACTTTCAAAAGGACATATCAAGAAACACAATTGCACAAATAATTGAAACGATGGCAACTAAGCTGGCAAAACTTACAAGTACACCCATTGACAGGGGCGAATTTAAGGGGGGGGGGGGGCGGACGCCCTCCTCCCCCCTCAAAGATTCGACCCCCTGCCGACCCAAAGGGTCCCCCCTCCGTACAACGTTGAGATATCCAATTTTGGTGATTGACCCTAGAAATTTTCTAAATGCGCTTTGGCGCCAATATACTGATTATGAGGGGGGAGCGCTACTTTTTGGTCAAACATTTCCAACAAATGCCTAAAAAGGCCTTTTTTTGGCCTGTTTTTTCGAATTTTTGCCTGCGGAGCAGAAAGTTTGGCCAAACCAGGGACTTTTTACTGCTTTGGGATAGCTCGGAAAGTCAATTTGGTCGACCTAAAAAAGTCGACAAAATTTTCGACGTTTTTTTGAAAATCCGCCCCCCCCCCCCCTCGAGAAAATCCTAGATCCACCCCTGGCTCAAAGTTTACAAAAAATCCAAGTTGTTTTCTGGCATTCGGCGAAAACTTAAATTTTTTGTTCTAACTGATACTTGACATTTCATTTTTTTAAACCAATAATTTACAACCCGCAAAAAAAATGTACAGTAGAATATTTCAGTGCCAGTAATCAGAAATTGAGTGATTTAAAGACAATAATGCTTCAAACTGTAGACACTGTTTCTACTTAGAACTGTTTCTAGTTCATGACCTGGTTTTAGTGTGTAATTTTGTAGGAAGTTTTCAATAGTCGTTCTTTTTATGGGTTTGATTATCCAGGGCTACTTTGTTGTCATTTATGAACAATGCTGGTTATAGATTTTTCATACGATTTTTCAATTGAATGGGGTTTCGAGAAATTGAATA